CCCCCCCCCCCCCCCCCCCCTTCGACGGCTGGTATTATTATCTCGAACGGATACACTAGTCTATTTTTTTATGTTTAGATAGCCGCAGAGTAAAACCCCCAGTTTAGTCGTCCAAAATCCAGGGATTTTTTTCTGTACCCCCGCCCGGCCCACTCACCTGTGGTCTCAAGTCGCATCTCCATAACACCAGTCAGCACTAAACAAACTAACACCAAGAAGCACAACGTCGATCTGTTGCGTATGTTTGGGGCCAAGTCGATCAGGGTTAAGCGCAAGGAGGGCGAACAGGGCGTATTGAGCACAACTTTGAGGTACCGACAGAGCCTGGTTCTTCATTCCCTGCAGGGAACAGGGAGGGCGGTGTAAGCAGAGCGGAGGTAGCAACGGCCACTCGGGAATACACCCGCCTCAATCACCCTAAAAGGCTCGGTACGGGTTGTGACGTTCATGAAGAAAAAGGGGTGGGCGTTGATTTGGACGCCGCCCAACATCCCGTCCTTTCAACCGATCGAGCTTTTTTGGCAGCATGGTAAGCAGTACGTCACCCTTAACTTTGAGTTGAAGCGAAAGATGCGGGAGGTGTGGGTGCAGATTCGTAAAGGTTGGTACGAGGACAAGGAATGGCCAGGCCAGGAAGGGGGGTGGAAGGCAGCCAATGGTTCGAAGCTGGTTGACCACGCCATTGGAGAGACGAACAAGTGGGTCAAAGTCCGTGATGGAGTGCTTTCTGGTACGATAGGCAACTTCAATAAGCCGGACGGGTACGATACAGATGAGGTGTCGCCCGTGGGTGATGTCGAGGAAGGGGTAGGGTAGCAGATCCAGCAGGAAAGCGCAGAATGGGGTGATGGCAGCGACGAGGTTGAACCATGAGCTTTTTTCCAGTCTTGTGATCGATTGCTACGCCCATGCACTGGGTGTGCCATGTTCCAGCAGCACACATATGTGATTGCTGTGCGCGAGGGGTTGAGTCCCTGCTTCCAGCTGCTGCAGTTGTCCTTGAAAAAGAAATCCAAAATATTCAAATGTCGACAAGTTTTACCCCGAATGCAGCTTGCCACACGTCAACTGCATCCATTTTTTTATCTTGTTGCGTATCGACCGCCTTCGTCATGGATGCGGTTTGCGCTACTGTATGCCGACAGGCGCTCAAAAAAGTTAGTTACAGGCCGACAAGTGGGGATACCAATGTTGGCCGGATGTTCCTGGGCATTTTTTCCGATTNGCTTTTTTCCAGTCTTGTGATCGATTGCTACGCCCATGCACTGGGTGTGCCATGTTCCAGCAGCACACATATGTGATTGCTGTGCGCGAGGGGTTGAGTCCCTGCTTCCAGCTGCTGCAGTTGTCCTTGAAAAAGAAATCCAAAATATTCAAATGTCGACAAGTTTTACCCCGAATGCAGCTTGCCACACGTCAACTGCATCCATTTTTTTATCTTGTTGCGTATCGACCGCCTTCGTCATGGATGCGGTTTGCGCTACTGTATGCCGACAGGCGCTCAAAAAAGTTAGTTACAGGCCGACAAGTGGGGATACCAATGTTGGCCGGATGTTCCTGGGCATTTTTTCCGATTTTGAATCTCTGCTCAGGTACACGACAAACCATAACTCAAGCAATTTGCAATATGTTTATTTTATTTTTGTTTCATCGTGACCGCCTTTCCCCTATCGTCAATTTGCGCAACATAGTAAGCTGTGCTGCGCATCGTATTGCGAAAGTTACACTCCGAAACGCATATCTTTTGATTTGCTCCTCTTAATGTGCCACCGTAATAGTCCCATAACAATCAACACGTTAGGTCGGTTTAAAGAAGGAATCTATCCTTGGTCCTGCCGCTGGCCGTTTCGCCTGGCTTTTCGCCCCTTCCCCCCCTCCAGCCTCGTGTATTTTCCGCTTTGGTAGCCCGCGCCGGTTTGACAACCTCGCCATGTCTCGCGCAACGTCCCCTTCGCGATTGTATCTTTCCTGCAGTCCCTCGGCGTAGTGAAAATCGAGGTGTTCTTGGAGTTCCTCCTGCGTGAGTACCTTTCCGCATTTGGGACACCTCTCACGTCCTGGTCGAAGCGGCGACGGTGCCGTTCTTTCATCATGAGCACCTCCCGCCAGGTGCGATGATGGCTGGAAGTTTCTACTTCGATCGACGCGGCTGCCATCCTTGCTCCCAACTCTTGGAACCTCTCGTGAAGCTGTAGACGCCTCAGCTGTCTCTCTACCAGGTACATCTTCATCGTCTCCTTCAGGCAACGATCTGCCACCGCCTGCCTGTCCACTTGGACCTACTGCAAGGGCCTCCTTGGCATTGGGTTTCACGCCTTTTGAGCCTGATTTCTCGAGCGGCGACGTCGGTGGAGGCATCGGCTGTTGCGGCGGCGGCGGCGGCAGCACGCGCAGAAAGGAGGCGATCGAGCCCCGCCCGGAAACCAAGCCGCTGAATTCGTGTGCCGTGAGGGCAAGGCGGCTGCACGGCAGGGCGTTATCGGTCTTCGCGAAGACGGCCATTGCCTCCGATACAAGGGATGCCGTCGTTGGGGACTCGCCCCCACCTGCCCGGCAAAAAAAAAAAGACTTCAGTTCTTTGCAGCTTTTTTCTTCCGTCTTTTTCTTTGCTCGACGTATGTCGGGTCAATATTGCCTCTCCTAAAGTTGACCAAAGGAAGCCAGGAGCACGCCTATATATCGAACGCGCCGAAGTTGAAATACTGCGGACCGACTGCATTGGACGCCCCTCGACCATTCGGCAATGTTGGGCTCACCGGGAATATCGACCGTCCGGGAACGCGTTGTCGACGTGTTGCCTTTTCCGTTTCCTCCTCCAGCTTCTCGCTGGTTTGACCTAGCGAGTGAAAAGCAACAGCGTTACAAACGGCGCCTCGACCTGAGTTCTAATGAAGTAGGGTCCAAGTGTGTCAAGGTCGTCAGCCTTGTATCTGAGGTGTGTCAAGGACTTGTCTAAATGACGGCAGACGATTGTAACGGGCCACATACTGCGGTATCGGCTTGAAGTCTGGACACGTGCTGACGAAGACGTATAGCATGCCACGAAGCACGCAGCATCATACTTTTCCGGCTCCTGGTGCATACATGTCGAGGTCTGGAAGCCGATTTTTTTTTTTTGTCTCCCATCATTGGACTCTGTCTTCTGCCCCTCTGGCCCCTATCCTCCAATTCTACTAGCTAGACGACCCAACCGGGGTCACATAGGATGGGGGGCTGGACCCCCTCCTGCGGTTCCTGCCTGAGGTATTTTTATCGCGAGAAGGGTACAGCAATCCCTTCCCTCGCGACTTACGAAGTCGATTATGGTTTACTAACAACGAGCTTTGCAGCGCGTCGCTTTCATCCTAAATAGACCAGGATTTATTTAGTGAGAAAAAAACTTACTCTGCCGGGACTCGAACCCATGACCTGGCCCTTAGCAGGCTGCGAGGTCACCCACTAGACCACCGGGGCGACCAGCCGAATGTACCCTGCCTAACCCCCTTGGTTGGCGATGCCTTCGTCTCGCGGTACGCACCTGCTTCCCGGTTTGAGGGAAATCATCTGAAGGGTGAGCTTGGTCGCTCTCCGGCTCCACGTTTCCCTGTCCACGGCGATGCGATGGGACAGCTCTGTACACAGCAGTCTCACCCAGTTCAAGACGGATTCCTCATCGCGCACAGGACTGCAAAGTTGGGCGAATTATGAGCGCAAGAAAGAAAGCGAACAAAAAGAGCCGTGAGTCCTGGGCACCAGAGGAGCGGTAGTGCGAGGTTCCAGCTCCCTCGTGTCCGAAGACAAACGACCACTTCGCACTTCCGGCGACGCTTGTCTATGGCTGCCTACTGTCGCGCACCCGCCGAGAGACAGCAACGCAAAGGGATCAAGAACGAGATTTCAAAAAACTGTTCTCAACCCATGACTCTCCAAGACAAAGAAGCAACACCCCGTCAACAAGGCACGACAGTTTAGTGCGCTAGCTGTCAGGTTCGTCCAGCCGAAAACCGGGACGGGCTACGAGACCAATCTCGGCCAAACGATTGACGACATATGGAGGGGGGGCCGAGCAACGCTTTCCCGCGGGAGCGTGCTTCTTCCACTTCCTGCTGCGACCCTACTTTTGTTTTCCCTGTCTCGCTGGGGCTCACGTGAATGACTTGCACACACTGAGGCTCTTAGGCTTGAGGTTCGGGGCAACGGGTTCGTCGTCCATTCCACGACAGGCCCTCCACAGCCACTCTCCTGTCTTGGTCCCAAAGTTTCCTGCGAGATCCTGTTGGCTAAACCTCTACATGCGGGCGCAAGGAGTCGGCGCGCAAGCACGAGAGGCGAACGAAAGCAAGGTCGGTGCACAGCAGGGTGAGGGCGTGATTGCTGCTGCTTGTGTCTTTCGGATAAAGATCGCGTCAAAACTACTCTCTACCAGTCGCCACGGTGAAGACATGCATCGCCCAACACACGAGAAGGTTGTGTTCTGCAACAGGAGGGGATGGAATGCCCAAATCAATTATGGTCACGTCGATCGTTAAGCGCAAGCAATACAGCCGTCGTTCACAAGGACAATGAACCACCATTTTGCGACTACATCCCAAAGCGGTTCCAACAAAATTTCAGGAGCCAGCGCACAGCCTACACGGCGGCGAAACACTTCTGTATATCGTCTGACGGCGCGAGTGGCCTCCACGCACAACTCAAACTCAAGCAAAAAAAAAGACATCCCATCCCTCCGCTGAGCGACAAACAAAACGAATGCGAGACCTGCCACGTGAAGACCAGGCGCATTGGACGTGCTAATTTGTAGTTGTAGCACCTTGAGATCCGAGCTTGTCTCGGCCTTGCTCCAAGACACTACAGTCTCGCCGAGCTTCCCCCCTAGACCGCGAACGCTTCGAAGGGGCACCGTGTCGAGCATGTCCGACGAGGCCCCGGCAGGTACGACCGTCTTTTTCGCGTTGTTGAGACGGGAAATACAGTGAATGCCGGGCAAACACACAAAACAGTACGAGATGCAAGATAGGAGTCACGTTTTCAGGGGAGGGGGTGATCGAGGTTGTTTTGAAACGCTGAGCGTAAGGCTCAGTAATAGCCTGTTTGCTCGACTGCCCGGTTGCCGCTGACAAACAGAACTTGAGCCTCCGTTTCATCGCAAATTCAAAGTACATAGCTCTTTGGAAGGGGGAAACGCCGGATCGCGCGTTAGCTCGATGAGCATGAAACTACGGAACACCCGTTTAGGCAACACCAGGGGACCAACGCTGACTGCACCTGCTTGTTCGGCTTGTTCATGCTCGATGCCAACTTGGCAAGAACCTTGTTGGACGCGATTCCGGCGGAGACCGTGAACCCCAGCTCCTGCTTCACAGCCAGACGCATGGCCGCCGTCAAGCGGGCTCCCGCCAGGAGTGCTCGATCAAAGGCGTTCGTCGGGTCGACATGGTGGCCGGCCGTACCCTAGAGAAGGCGCAATCGACCAACAAACATGCACAGCGACCACAACAGACGAAGCAAGCGATTCACCGAACGTTTGAAGGTGGGAATGCGAAGGTGGGCTCGACTGACGATCGACCATCGTTGAATCAGCGCATCGTGTTCGCAGGCAAAATATGGCCGCCGTCAAGCGGGCTCCCGCCAGGAGTGCTCGATCAAAGGCGTTCGTCGGGTCGACACGGTGGCCGGCCGTACCCTAGAGCAGGCGCAATCGACCAACAAAACATGCACAGTGACCACAACAGACGAAGCAAGCGATTCACCGAACGTTTGAAGGTGAGAATGCGAAGGTGGGCTCGACTGACGATCGACCATCGTTGAATCAGCGCATCGTGTTCGCAGGCAAAATGATTAAGCCAAGGTCCAAGACGAGGCGAACGAAGCATTACCTGTAAGTCCGTCTCTGGCGAGTCTGCAACGTCCCGAGCATTCCCTGCCTCCACCTCTTGACAAAGTTTTGCCGCCTCCTCCGTTAGGTCGAGGTAAGCCTCGTCAATTGACGCCCTCTCGACTCGACGGCAGTGTGCCTGTGATAGGCGTACGGCAAAGGTCGAACATTCGTGGGATGAAAATGCGACAGGTGCATGCCGTGTTGTTTTCTCCTTTTCATATTAGACACAAGGAACTCAGACCAGGTGGATAAGCCAAAAGATGGGGAACAACGTGGTGTGTATGGTGTCCACGGGGCCGATACCCCGATTACGTGCTTCCCCGACTTAGATACCGCATCAGTTGCATTATCGAGATCTAGCACAAGAAAAGCTGCAATATCGCAGTGTGATCCGGACGGCAATGTCTGCTTGAAAAATTAAAAAGGCCACGGTACCCATCACACCCGGCAGTTCACCTGGAAGATGGCCATGATCGCAAAGCTTGCCGTGCGATACCTGAGTTAGACGGAAGTGGCACATGATAGCGTAGGCCATGAGACGTAATGCTCGGTGATCTGTCGAAGCATAGGCTGGCTACAACCGCTTGTTGCCACATGTGTAGGCTAGCCAGATGTGCCCTGTCTTTCTTGTGGCTTGAGAAAGTACACAGGACGCTCCCATCGTGTAGGCACTTTCCCGCCTCTACCCCCCCCCC